GTTGAGTGGTCATGGTGGTGATGGGTTGGGGTTGGACTTGGTGATCTTAGAGATCTTTTCCAACCTTGATCGTTTTATGATTCCATACCCTTCTAATTTTTATTTTTTAGCAGAACTCCCTTAGAATTTGTTCTCTTCCACCTTTGGGCTGAGAAGAAAGGGGTCCATTTTCTTTTCAAGGAAACAAAAGGAAAATGAAGGGAAAAAACCCACGGATGTCTTGGTTGCAACGTTTTTTCATTGAAACGTTGACTGGCTTCAACCACAATTAAAGTCATGCTTAAAAATGACCAAATGGGAAGTTATAAAAGTGAATGAGACTCAAGCAGAAATGATGAAGAGAATTTCAGGCACAACAGGGACTTTCTGTGAAAACTACCAGGAGAGCAGAGAAGGCATTTCTTTCTCCCAAAACAAGATAAACCACTGCCCACAGTAACTCACACTAATTATTAGACTTAACTAGTACTAATTTTTACCCAGGAGTAATTATTTTTTTTTAGGGTCCAGAGCTCTGGAAAACAAATAAATGTGTTCCAGGTGTGGCAATCTCCTTGCAGAGGAATTTGCACCATGGAGAGGGAAGTTTCATTTCTTCCCCGTGCCAATAAAGAGGCATAAATATACATTCTTATTGATGCAAATAATGCATTGCTCCTGTCAGAGCTGACAAAGGCACTAATTTAGGGAGCATTTCCCTCTCTCGTGCACAGAGATGTATTTCTGTTGAGATTTTTGCTCTCCCCATGGGATATGTGCTCTCAAAACGGGTGAAAATCCCCCAGATGATCTCTTGTGTTTGATCACATCTGTGAAGAGGCTGTGGTTAACATATGTCAGGAATGATGCTAACTAACCTGTGCCATAAAACTTCCCAGGTAAACTCAGCTGTTGTCAGAGGAAGACGTCCCAGATGCCATTTGGGATCCCACCCTCCATCCCAATGATCCATTGCTGCATAAGGGATGGGCAATGTTTTGGGAACTGGTCAGAGGTACTGTCTGACATCTTCATAAAATTAATGACATTCTTTGTATTTCATGATGTCAGTGCTTTCAGGAGGGTGGATTTTATCATAGAATATATGACACACAGTAGAATGGTTTGGGTTGGAAAGGATCTCATAGATCACTGAGTTCCAACCCCCTGCCAAGGGTAGGGTTGCCAACCACTAGATTCACCCTCCATAAAACCTTCTACAGTGACCCGAATGTATCTGACCACTTTTCTGTGGGTGGGATTTCTAGCCAGTGCCACAGATAAAAGCAAGTATTAGGGGACACTGAGTCAGCAGTGAATGCCCACAAACCATGGCCCTGTCCCCAGTGATGTGGTCTTACATTCTCCTTGCCACAGGTACTGGTATCCTTGTGGCTGCTGGTGAGACAGATCAGGGAGCTGATCTGGATGCAAAGTAGCTGAGAAAGTAAAAATCTCTTCAATTCTATTATTATTTCTTTTTTTTTTTTTTTTTGGTCTGGTTTCCCTTGCGTGCTTGTGCCAATGGGGAGCTGGGTACGAAGTGACAGCAGGAGATCTCCATCTTTGATGAATGATGGTGATTTTGCCTGGTCCCATTCCAGAGAACCTAATTGCTTCCAGCCCTGCCTCCTTCACCCTGCATCATCCCAAAACAGGGGGGGACACACAAAAAGGGAGGCATTCCCACTGCAGCCCTCATGGTTTGCAGGATATTGAAAGCTGAATAGTGCTGTGCTTGTAGCTGCAGAGGCTCCATCACCAGCCCAGCACCTCAGCAGTCCCGATTCCCATGGCAGATATCTCCACATCTGAACAAGCAGCTCTCGTCTGTCCATAACATAAACATCCAGGAAACATCTAAAGAGCAGACAGAGGGCTTGGGATGGCATCTGCTGAGATGGCACTGAGCCTGCAAGAGTCCAATGCTAGTCCAGAGGTGAAAAGGTCCTTCTGGAGTCCCTGAGATCAGAAAGTGAATACTATCTGATGGTTTTGCTCTGGTCTGGATGTGAGATGATGAATGTATCCTTAAATCCTGCCCACTAATCCCAATTGCATTGCTGACAATGGAGAGCTGGCCATTTGCAGAAGCTCTTTTCTTTAACTTGGCTTTCTCTAGAGAAAATCAATCAGCCCACCAGCTAGTCAATCAGGCAGTCAATCAGTTACCCACTCAATCTGAACCACATGGAAAAGGGGTCATGAGGAGACCTGACCTCCCACCCAGATGCCCCACGAGCCTCACAGGAGAGATCTCCACCTCTGTGGCAGCCTAAGACCTTCCCCATCTCAGCTGCAGTCCCTGCAATCAGGAGCTGAACCAATCTGGGTCCTGTCCACAGCCCAAACCCACGGAATGAACGGCTCCAGGGCTGGAGACAGCTGCTCTTGGGAGTCAAAACCTCCCACTGCCTGGTGGGACTTGCATGAGTTGCTGCTGGTGACATCTAGTGACAGGGAAAGCGAGCACGAGGAGCCACCTGGAGCTCTGACAAAGCCATCTTCATTGAGCAAAAAAAACCCACAAAACCTACTGTGGTTTTCACACAGGACGTGGGATGAGAATGAGGATGCTCGGGGTACATACAGGTCGACCAGGATGTCCCAACCACTTCCAGCCATTTCCAGCCCTTCTTCCCAACAGCCACTCGAAGAGAACCAGGACATCCCACCCCCTGCCTCTCTGCAGCTTTTCCTGCTTTATTTGAACCCACATTTTGGGGTTTGCCATCTCAACGAAGCACCGAGCAAGAGGGAAACACACCCTACGGGGAGCTGTCGGGGTTGTAGCCAAAGCAATGCGGCTCCCAGCTGTGGCTGCCCGCTGCCGGACACATGGAAACTGCTCAGGGGACTCGGGGACCCCTAAGCATGGCACACGGGAGAGATACGGGTTATAAGTGGGATGCTCCAAGCACAGATGCTGCGGATTCCATCCCAGCAGATACACCAGCATCCCACGGAGGACAGCATCTCCCACTCGCATAGGAGTAAAGGGAGGCAGCTGCCGGTGCAAAAAGCCCTTAGGACACCCAGTTTTGGGAAGGACCAGCGGGAAACCCCGCTGCACAGCTCCACACGGTGCGGGGCTGAGGCTCACGCATTGCCATCACCTTCCAGCACCGAACCCCGACATTTTCCATCTCCTTCACCACCCGGCGCCGTACTAAATCCTTTTCCACCCAACACCTCTCTCCAAGCTCCTCTTCCCCAGCGAGAAGTGCGTTCATTCTCTTTTGTAATTAGCCATTCCCGCGGCAAACAGAACTATCCGGAGTGACAGTAGCAAAGATCCAGTAGCAAAGAGCGAGCACAACAGAAAGCGGGCTGATGCTCCCGAGGTACTGGGAGGGGAGAGATCACCCATACCCGGAGGTGGACAAGCAAACCCCGGCAGAAAGTTGTTACTCACCCAGGAGGATCAGCGTGCAGAAGTAGAAGATGCCCCTCATCCTAACCGCTCGGCACTGCTCGGTTCACACCGACTCGGCACGGCTCGGACCGAGCGGCTCGGCACGGCTCGGCACGGCACGGCGACGCCGGAGGATGCGCGGAGGCTGAGCAAGGCGGGAGGAGTCCCCGCCGCCCCGGTCCGGCCCTCCTGGGGTGAGGACTCACGGTTCAGCCCTGCTCCGGCCCCGGGTGTTGCCCGGGCAGCGGGGGGTCCCGCCAGCCGCGCTCCGCCGCATCCCTCCGAGGCAGCTGTAAGGGGATGCTCTTCTATTTTTTTTTTTTTTCTCTCCCTCTCTCTGTATCTATCTACAATTCTTCCTGTATTTATTTTATTCTCTTCTTTAATTATTAGTATTTTTCCCTTTTTTTTTTTTTTCCCCTCCCTTTTCAGCAATAAACTTCGGATAGCCCGACTCCGTACCCCGAGAGCCGGGGCAGCCCTCCGCCGCCTTCCCCGCTCTCCCTCCGCCGCCGCCCCCGCCTCTACCGCGGCTCCGGCCCCGTGGGGAGGGGCTTAGCGGCCCGGCCCCCCTCCTCCCCGCCTCCCTGGCCCCTGCTCTGTGGTCCCGGGGGTGTTTTCCCCCAGCCTGGTGGATCTGTGTCTCAGAAAAGCCCCTCGGCATCCCATTCCTTCAGCTCTGGGTGTGCTTTCTCCCCTCCCTGCTGCCCTTTTTTGGGGATCCCGGTGTCCCCAAGCCCCCGTCTTAGCACCAGCACCAGTTTTTTCCATTTGTGACCTGCATTCTGGTCTTGGCTGCTTGACTCTGGAGCCCTGAAAACCCCAAACCCTACACCCTCCTTCAAGCAATCCCCTAGAATAAGATCCTTTAAATTTCCCCCTCAAACCCTCTCTGTAAATTCAGATTATGTTCTCCCAGATCCATACATCTATAAATCTCCATCCAGATCCCCGTGCTGCCCTCAGCCCATACAACCCCACCAAAGTGTCCATCACCATCTTTCCCTTATGCTTCTCCCATGCCCTCAGCCTCTCCCACCTGTCATTCCCATGTCCCAGCATAAGAGCCTCCTATAGGAAGCCAAGCAGCAGAGCCTGGCTCCTCGAGCCACCTCTTAATCATTATGATGACGAGTGAGCATCATTTTCCTCTACCTCCATTTCATGCATGGAGTACCTGAGACACAGAACATGAAGTGATGTCTTCAGGTTCACTCAGTAATTAACTGACCAACAACAGAGTAAGAAGACTCAGTATCCTTTAAAATACAGCTACCCCTGTTCTTCCTCCAGCCCTAAAGCTTCAAAAGTCCTTTCCTTTCCTCTTTCTTCCCTTTTCCTTCCTCTTTCCTTTGCCCTCTCTTTTCCCCATTTCTTCCCTCTTTCTTTTCCTTCACTTCTCCCTTTCCACTCCTCTCCTGCTTCCTTCTTCCATCCCTCGTTCTTTCCCTCATTTCCTCTCCCTCTTTCCAACACAGAGGCTCCTCTGAGGACGGATTGAAGCACCACTCACTTTTTCCTCCCTGAAAGCTCAGGAATTGCTTTTGAACATTTGTAGCAAGAGATTTTCTCAAGTGCTGGGTCAGATATTTTGGCTAAACAGATGTTTAAAAGCTCTTGGATTATTATTTATTATTTTTTGCTGGAGCTGTTCAGGGTTCTTAACTTGACTTCCTTGTGGCATCACCTCATTAATCCTCCAGCAAACCCTCCTGGAAAAGCAGAGGAATGGCACTACTTAATTTTTTTTGTGTGTGAGAAAAAGAGAAGGGGAATAATTCATAAGGCCACATCTGTAGGACTTAGGCACAGAGCATAAATAGGCTGAGAAAATACACTTTTTCTATTTTATTTCCCCTAGCAGATCAAAAAGAAAGGGGTGCTCCCTGACCCTCCTCTCCTCTGAAAGTATCTACAGTGTTCCAGTCTCGAGATGCTCAATTAGTGAGCTTTTAGTTCTCTGTCAGAATGGGGAAGCAGTAAATAAATAAATGTCTTTAATAACTGTATTTCACATCTAAAATGAGCTTTTCCTGAGTTACTCAGTGGGGAAAAATAAAGTGTTAATAAAGCCTCATTTGGAGGGAAAAAGCATTACTCTTGAGCTACTCTTGTTGCGTTGTTTTTTGTTTGTTTGGTTTTTACTTCTTTAAAAAGAGTATGATTATGCTTAAGCAAATTTCAAAATGAAATTGCAATGAGATGCAATTGAAATGTCTAACTGGGAGACTTGGGAAACAATTGCATTTTTCTGCTTATTATTATTTTTAATTATTTTGCAGATTCTTTTTTACCGTGCTATTCTTGACATAGCTATTTGACCAATAAAATAAATGTCACTGGAACATACGTTATCCTTTGTGTTATTATGACAAATAAAAGAGTATTTTCCTTTGAATACGTGTGCCCTCTCCTCAAGAATGAGGTCCTATGTTGGAGGTTAGACTAGAAGGATGACCACGGAATCATAGAATGGCCTGGGTTGAAAAGGAGAACCATGATCATCTGATTTCAACCCTCCTGCTATGTGCAGGGTCACCAGCCACCAGACCAGGCTGCCCAGAGCCACATCCAGCCTGGCCTTGAATGCCCCCAGAGATGGAGCATCCATGACTTTAATGGTCTTTTCCAACCTTAACGATCCTGTGGTTCTACCTGATGCTGCTGGACCAAAGGAGGTGACCCGAGCCCTGTAAGCCCACTCATTAATGAAGGGATCTCACCAGTGCTGAGAGCATGGATGCGAAGACACCACATCTCGTCCCCTTGCTGTGCTTGAGGTCACATCAGGGAAGGAACATGAACACCTTTGTAGAATCAGAGAATCACTGAAGACCACTAAAATCATTAAGTCTAACCATCAACCCATCCCCACCAGCCATGTCCCTCATGGCCACATCTCTGTGCCAATACCTCTTCCATTTGCACAGCTGGAGACAGAATAGGAGCTTGAAGATCATTTCCAACCCAAGCCTTTCTATGAGTCTAATCAAGGATCATAATCCTTGCTGTTCCCTCTCAGGCTATGGACCAACTCCAACCTCTCCTGCCTGAACAAGTGGGAAGCTTCCAAGGAATCAGTGCTATGAAAGCAACATTTCTTCCTAAGTTTGCAGGAAAAAAATAAAATAAAATAGTAGGGTTTTTGGAAAAAGGGAAAAGTCCAAACGTAGGCAACCCCTACCATTCAACCCAATGCAAAGGCATTTCCTGCCTTTTCTGCAATTACTGCATGCGGGGGAGACTCACACACTGGAAAAAGCCACCCAGAAGAGACATGCCACAAATACTGTGAAGAGAGAGGGATCATTGTTCCTTGCTGCCTTATTTATCAGATCTGGGCTTCCTCTTAATCTCTGGGTGGATGCTGAGATGAGCAGTTAATTAAAACACTCCTTCCACGCACAAACACACACACTACACACCCCTCCTAAAATTACCTGCTACCTTTCCTTACAAAGGAATCAAGGTATTGATCAGTCAGGTCTAAATAACACCATTGTTGCTCATCTCATCCCAAAGAGCCTCTGCCCAGAGCTCCGGATGAGAGGTTTAGCAAAGCCAATGAAAGAAAGAATTGTTTGGGTAGTCCGTGGAGAAATTGCTGGGCAGGGAAAGCACACAAAATATGTTGATTAAAAGAAATGCACTTATAAAAGCAAAACTGGTTACACTGGAAACTGGAACACCATTTTTTTTTTGGTTTGTCTTCCTGGAGTAAGATCACTGTGGAAGCCACTTCTGTGCCCTGCACAGCCCCTTGATCATCCAAGAAGTAGCCACAAAAACAAGGCAATGGAGCTGCTATTGTCTCTTTTTATGAATGGAGAAATGAAAACAGACATATTAAGCTGTCCATGCAATTCAAAGAAATGTGAAAATAGCCAGGATCACGCATGCATGCGTGCATCTTTCCACCCCCCATCCTTCCATCCATCAAACCACCCACCCCCTAACCTTCCATCCGTCCTTCCCTCCACCCATCTCTGTTTAGAATAAAAAGAAAACTGTCTAGAAATGTGAATCAGGGAATATGAGAAACAGGAGAATATGAACTAGGCAGGAGCACTACATAAACCTCAAGCACTATCTTAGCCTACAGAACCAGGAATGAAGAGAATCAAACATCCCTAGCCCTCACTGCTTGGGAACTTTTGGAGAAATGTGAATTTTTGACACAGCTAAGCCAATCTCCAAGCAAACAACAAACAAAACACCACACTTTCAGGTCAGCTCTACCTTAATCTGGCTTCAGATTGGCTCGCTGATGAGCTGACTTTATAGGTATCAGCTGATACCCCTCCCTGTATTTATACTGCTGTAGGATCCTTAAGTGATTACCAATCACAGAGACAAGAGAAACCAGTCAGAGCCGTAGAGCAGAAGCAGCAGATTTCAGTGATGTGGATAGCATCCTTGTCAGTGGGATTCTGAAGCTGTTAGACCCTTCCTGAATAACATCTCTCAAAAACCTTTTCCACCTGCAGCTGGGGGTAAGGTTGTTCTCATACATTTCATCCAAGATGTGGTCTGTAATAGGATCATAGAATCACAGAATGGCTTGGGTTGGAAGGGACCTCAAGGATCACGAATCTCCAATCCCCCTGCCACATGCAGGGCCACCAACATCCACATTTCATACCACACCAGGCTGCCCAGGGCCCCATCCAACCTGGCCTTGAACACCTCCAGGGATGGACGGGGCATCCACGGCCTCTCTGGGCAGCTGTTCCAGCACGTCACCACTCTCTCTGTAAAGATCTTCCCCCTGACATCCAACCTCAATCTTCCCTCCCTCAACTTCAAACCATTTCCCCTTGTCCTGCTGTTATTCACCCTTTCAAAGAGTTGACTCCCCTCCTGTTTGTAGGCTCCCTTTAGGTTCTGAAGGCTGCAGTGAGGTCACCCCACAGCCTATTGATAAGCTTCTGTAGATGGAACGACCTCAGCTTGGCTGCCATCAGAAACAGATTAAACTTTTCCTGATCTGGCCAAGCTGCTCTCATGTTCATCCTTGTCTGCTATGCTAGGGCATTATCTGTGTTACCTCTTTAATCAGGTATTGTCTCTGCAGGGCAGGAAAAGGGTCTTGGCTATCAGGGTTTTATGAGAGTGTAAGAGCAGTGAATTTTAAATCTGCTTTTTTTTTCAGTTTTGGAAGTGTTCTAGTGTTCCTTCATCTCCTTTCTATTCTTTGAATGAGTTAATTTGGGGTTCTCTTGACTGCTGACCCTCTGGAAGAGTCACACACATCTGTTAAAACGATCTGAGAGGACACTAGGAAACTTATTTGCTACCATTTAAGAACTAGAAATAATAACAACAGCAATAACAATTTCTCAGAAGGAGACACTCCAGGAGTGTTTATCTGAAGACTCCAGAGTGTATCAGCACCTGTAGGGTATTTAAACTCATTGCAAGCAGGTGTTGCTTTACAGGGAACTGCAAGGACCTTGGGAATCCTTGTGCATTTTGCAAAACCTGCTGAGAATCTGGACCTGAGCTCCTGTGTTGAGATCCTGGGAAGCCTGAACTCTCAGATGAATCAGCTGGAGGACCACATTGACTTGTAGAATTACACCATTAATAAACAGAGCAAATCTCCTCATGGTATGCTCCTTTCCCATGACCACTAGAGTGCAGCCAGCCCTTGGGTGAGATACATCTGCCACACTTTGCAATTATCTTCAAGTGAACCAAAGGAAAAGGGCATCTGAACAGTATGAAGAGTGATAGAACCTCATATAGAATCATTATGGTTAGAAAAGACCTCTTAAGGCCATCAAGTCCAACCGTAATATATTCAGTCGTGGGATACTTTGAAATGAAAACCCAGAAGAATCCAGGCAGGGATTATACAGTGAAATGAGGGATGATGATTATGGTTGATCTCCACAGATGTGTTTTGTCATAATGTAGGTAAAATGTATTGGGGAAAAAAAGAAAGTATTTTGTCTTTATTCAGTTAAGAAGAATAGGATGGTAAAAGCCAAGCATGTCATGGAAACGTATGGGAATTTAGAAATGAGAACTACAGAGAAGCTCTAATCCAAAAAGTGCTCAAATCAGAACAACTAGATGGAGACACTCTTCATCAACACATCGACAAGATGACCTACCTGATCTATAGGATGAGAGATAATGACCATAAGTTGTGCCAGGGGAGGTTAAGGTTGGATGTTACAAATCATTTCTTCTCCAAAAGAGCAGACAGGCATTGGCACAGCTGCCCAGGGAATGGTGGAGTCACCATTCCTTGATGTGTTCCAGAACAGTGGAGGTGTGTCACAGAGGAATGTGGTCAGTGGGCATGGTGGGGTCGGGCTGGTGACCTTAGAGGTCTTTTCCAATTTTAATGATTCTATGATACAAGGGCCATCATGCAAAAGTTCAGATCTAGAAGTAAGGAGTCGAAAGAAAACTACTGAGTCAAGGTGCAGCTTCTGGGCTGGGGAGCAGAAAATAGGGTTTGTATCTGAAAGAGAGAGGAAATCTAAAATATGACAGAGCTGCTTGTTTCTGCTCAGAGCTTCACTGGACTTTGCTACAACATAGAGGCACTAAAGACACAGGGAACAACTAAGAGATCTTAGCGTGTGAACCTGATGTTTTCTTGGATAAAATAAAGTTTAGTATGAAAAGAAGGCATGTGAATAATCTCCTTTTTGGGAAGATTGAGAAATGAGGAATTGATGAGGTGCCATGGAGTAACCTTGTTAGTTCCTTAGGATAAGATAGAGTTTGATGAGGGAACCGTGAGACAAGGAGGAATGTGGCTAATGGGAAATAATATTGAACAGTGCTGGAAGGGGAGCACATCTATTAGTGGAGTTTCTCTTGGGTCTTTCTTGCTATTGATTTGTTTAAGGTTTGCAATAATGATTTTGGCCCCCAAGGTAGAAATGAAGTGCTAATGAAGTCAGTGGAAAAAAGCTGAGAGGCATCAGTGGGGAGGAACTGAACAGCACAGAGAAGACCCCATTGATGAGCAGAAGCACAGCAAAAGAGTACAAAATGGGAAGTCATGAATATGAAAAACCCAATAAATGGGGGTACTTGTTCTCAGCCATCTCTCTGTTGGAAATCATTCTCAGCTTGAGCCACGGCAGTTAAAAACCATAATGGATGGATACACGTAGACTAAGGGGCTCCATTTCTGGGTACTCGGCTAAATCCCACCATTCAGTCCAGGTAAAACCACAACACAAGAGCTGATTTGACTAACTATGAGAAAGTATCTCAAAAAGCAAACATCCTGCTGCCGGGAGCTTCACATTAATCCAACCAGCACCTGCCTTACAAAGTATTTGGGGGAAAAAAATCCCTGGATTAGGTGAACCCAACCAAGTGCTGTCCATGCCAGGATGTGACACAGTGTCTGGTCCAGCTTCCAACTCCTGAGATGGAGCCACTTTTAAATCCACTTAAGATGTGCAAACAGCCCCGTCAATAATAGCAGTTCACAGAGCTGTGTGCTGAACTGTGGCTTTCTCTGGGCTGCAGTAGCCTTGGTAACTCTCGGGGAAAAAATAACCTAATTTTCTCTTTCATCCATAAGCCGAACCCTTTAATTTGCTTTCAAGTGAATTAAACATAAGCCTCCATTTTTCTAATTCCTTTGTCCTAATTTAAAAATAGTGACATTTATCAAAGGAGTTTTTGAGATTTCCAGTTTTTAGCTCATTGTTTTAGTGGGTTTTTTTAAGAAATAAACCGGAGATTGACATTTTTATTGCTGAAATGCATCCTTCCCTCCTCATTTTCTTAATAACGTGGGGATGTTGTTTTCATTTCTGAAGTGTTTTTTTTCTAATAGCAAGGAGAGAAACCTGTGTCCTACTGCATAATCAAGGTGACCATGTTTTGTAATTTAGCTGTGCTCACTGACTTGCATGACACAAGAGGATCTTTGAAGGCAAACAGCCTCAGCTGGTTCATCCTATGAAGGTGTTAATGCTACCATACGTTATGGAAAAACCATGATTCTGTGAAAAATGTTATGTACCAGCAACTTCTTAGAATCATAGAGGCATTAAGGTTGGAGAAGACCTCTGAGATCATCTAATCCAACCATCCACCATTGCTCACTGACCATGACCCTCAGTGCCACATCTCTGTGGTTTCTGAGCACCTCCAGGGTTGGTGACTCCACCACCTCCCTGGGCAGCCTGTTCCCTTGCTCATTCTTCTATAAATAATGACTGCCTGAATAACTTTTACACTACAGAGTGGATTTGGTGCTCTTGATCCATCTGCCTGGCTTTTCCAAGAAAGGAATTTATCTCATTCAGCATTTGCACAATACTGTGTACATTTTGAGGCCCTCCTCTCACAGTTGGCGTGAGCACAAACACAACATAAAGCATGGCCTGGGGCAAAGAATCTTCTTCTTTGTGGCCAAGATCTCTCTTGGAAATTTTGTGCATTTATTTTTCAAATTATTTTTTCTTTCAGTAAACCATAGGGCTGATTAAATGACCTCAAAGCTAATGGTAAGCCTTTGGAATCCAAAGCCAGTGTTGAGCTTCATTCCACCACCGGGCTGTTTTTGAGTGGTTCATGACATATCTCCATTTTCTTTCTGAATTTGGGGTTGTATTTTATTTTTGGACATTGATAGCAATTCCACTACAAACGAAATTATCTAAAAGTATCTTAAAGTTATCTAAAAGCTATCTTCCATCAATGCCAATGAGTGCCTTCTTGGTCATGGCGTTTGGGGGAAGTGATGGAAAGTTCTTAGCCTTAGACAACCCAGCATATCTCATCAGATTCTTGCTGAGCTCTGGGAGCATCTGCCATGAATGCTTCCCATTGGGATGCAGTGTTTTGGCTGACACAACCCTCTTCCCTTGCAGACACTGCAGCTTCCCTGTGGTGTCCAATGTTGTGCACTGTGCATTCTAGTTTGGACAGAGAAATAAACGGAGTTTGTCCACTACGTGCTGATATGAATTACTTTCAGAGGGTGAGTTAAGATTGGTAATAAAGAGAGCTGCCTGGAGCCAAGATCTCACACTATGACACTAAGTGGAGGAACAAGCTTGAGAACACTGAGCTTTCAATGGACTTCTGCCCCTCGTTCCCTGACAGACAGTTTTCCTTTTGGAAATCACCCTTTTAGAAGTAAAGCAAGATCCCAGTCTCTTCTGGTGGCAATTAGGGATGCGGGGTATTGCTGCCTTTGAAAATTGAACCTCTTATTTAACTCTGTAAATACAGATTTAATGTTCCTGCTTTTGGCACCTAGACTTGAAAATTTTCTTCTTACAGATGAAAACAGAATGTTACAGAAATTGAGTCTGTGCCATCTTTCCCCACTTTGTGAGGAAAAAAAAAAAAAAAATCAAGGATCATTTATCAGCATTTGCAGCTTCTTTATTCTATCCACTTTGAACTAAAATCATAGATATTAACTCTGCACTCTATACCAAACAGATGCTTCCTCAGAGCTAGAGTTACCCAACCCACAGCAAGTGGGCAAATGTTAGCCAAGTTCTGGGGTTTCAGCTGGGAGGGACAGGAGCAGAAAAGAGACTCCATAAATTTATATGGAAGACCATAAAATCCTAGCAGAATCGTGCTGTAACACAAACCAGCACAGTGCTGCATAAAATAGTCATTGGGAGGTCTGCACTTTCCAACACCTCACTTTACAACCCATTTCGGGTCTGGGGATGTCACCTGTTTTGCACAGCTCCATCACGCTCTGTGGGACGGTGTTAGCAGCTGATACACTCTTTATAGCACAGTCTGACACTTCAGCTCCCACAGCCACAGCAATCTGCAGCACAGCAGCCAATTCAAGCCATCCAACTTCTCATGGGAGATGTGTGCAATGGATATGAGGCAATAGATACGGGCTTCTCCATAGCAGACCTTGTAAAACTCTCTCTAACCACCCCTTGTTTGTTGTTAGAAGTTTTTTATGCCTCAAGGGAGATGATGGGATAAGGGGGAGGATTCAGAAGACATGGGAGATGTACTCCTGTCTGTAACCCAGACAACAGATCCAGGGCAAAGACAATGTGTCTCTGCAGCTCCCCTACCCTTATCCCTTTTCCAGTCTCCAATCAGTATTTCTCTGGAGTAGGTTCTACCTATTTATCCAGCTGCACAGCTACAAAGTCTTTGATCTCAGTGGTGGTCCCTGGAAACTCCTGGAATACAATTAAGAAAGCAAGTGCAAAATAGAAGCGTGGAGTGATGCACATCTGCCTTGCCTCTACCTCGCCTCCGCCTCTCGCCTCTCCCCCATGTCTTGTGCCACCCACCTTCCCCATGGGGTGCTCATGGGGCCCAACCACTTTCCCCAGAGTATTTCACAGGCCATGGGGCCTTAGCTCTGGGGAGGAGAGGATCAGTCCCTCAGTTCTACGGCTGGGAGCAGAGGAGTAAGCCCCAGCACCTATCCATGTGAGTGTGACTTCACGTTGTGTATCATCTTTCCATGGAAGAAGCTTGCTTGTGGGGTGAACGAGATGGGAGGGAGGATAGGGGATGAGGATTTGTGTTACAGAAACCAGAGAAGGACGTCTTCATCAGCTTTGGTGATAATGGGGAAAACAGTGCAACCAGGGCTGTCCATGGTAAATGCATTGCTGAAGAGTGATGGGCTGCTGTGTCCACGTGTTGTGTTTGTTTCTGATTTAATGAGTAGAAATTCAGCATGGAGAAGGGAAAAGTGCATACAGGAGGAAATGCCTCACCTGCTCTGAGGGGCTGAGAGCGTGGTGTGGTGGGACGGGGTGGCCCAGAGTTCCCACATTTCTGCTTAATTGGACAGGGCTAGGCAGGTGGACCTGCCAAAATGATTGTGAGGAGACATCTGGGGTTCCTCCCACACCACCATCCCTCCATCCAGGTGGTTCTTGGGCCTCAGACTGCTTCTCTCCACCTCCTACAAAAGGATTTGGCCTTTTGCAGCACCCTGCAAAAAGCACTGGCTTTGCTGTTCACAACCATGGCTGAAAACAGCTCGCACACATCAGAAATAGTTCAGGCAGGGATGAAGTGAAATAATAAGATGCTTTGTCTAATTTTCTCATCTTTCTTTTTCCCTACTCGTCTTCTCCTGGAGAAGATGAACAGCAAGGAGCACAGAGTGAAAGGGATAGCAAGTGTGAGAGAAAAATAAAGAGAAGAATGAAAGAAAGTAAAGAAAAGACAAGAGCTGGAAAAGTGAAGAAGTGAGAAAGATACAAAGGGAGAAAGGAGAGAAAGAAAAGAAAAAAAATAGAAATGAGAAAG